TATCCTCTTTACTCATCTGCTTTCTTCCACATACACGCCCTTGATCTGGTTACTAACACATGAACTAACATCCATAAGATACACTGGCATTGAGATACACCCTTCTTTGTAGAAGTATAATGATTTTTAAACATATGTAGGTATTGTAAAGAGCCTATGAACAGCAGTATATGGGGGGTGAGAAGGTATTTGCTGATTTGAGAGTTAATCCAGTATTATTTCTTTCCAAATGCAGCTGCCAAGAATTTGAAACCTCTTGGGTTGGCCTCCCATGAGTCACTGTTTTTCCTATTGATCTACAGTGCTCTAATGCAGCGGGAGGAAGGGGATACAGTGATACGCAGGAATGAACATGCTGCGGGAAAGATGCAGCCTGTCAAATTAGGGCAGCATCCTGCTTGAGTGTTGTTGCTTCTTGTTTCTTGTACGTTCAGGAATAATTCTGAAATTCCACATATTCAAATGGATAGGAAAGCATGGTGAATGTTGCATGCACCTGCAGATTAGTACCCAAACATGGTCAGGTATTGCAAACAGAAATTAAAGTTTCCGTGGTACACACAAAATGCAGCAGACTAGGTTCGAGTGCAGGATGAATCTCTTGAGGTGTCCTTGGAGAATGTTGTGCCACTCTTAGAAGGTTGCTGTTCTAGTGATTTTTGAACAGAAAACATACCCCCCCCCATCTTCACAGCTTGTTTCATGCAAATAAGCTATTAAGAAAGCACTCTATGCTTAATTTTCTGAATGGAACTAAAATTCCTAATTATTTTGGCAGGTCAGAAGTTCTATTCAGAGGATTTAGCTAAAATAAGAATAACACCACAGTGTAAGATTGCTTGCAAGTTTTATCAGATCTTTTTAATTCTTGTAAGCATAGAAATTAGTTTTGAATCATCTAATGGAAATATTGAACAATCCCTATCCTTTAAGGCAGGAGACTGGGAATATAGTAATCTGGCCAGAGAAGCTGAGTAACTTATTTGCATAAATGACTGACTTTCTCTACCGAGGACTGAGCACATACCTATTATCAAGGTATTTTATTAGCCTAGGCATGGTTTGAGAAGCAAAAAGCCAGAACAGAGTCTTTGGTCCTCCTGAGAACTGGGTTGGGGTCATACCTAAATGCTGTTCTAAAGGTGATATTTTGAAAGGATCCCCTTATTGCTGATATTAGAATTCCAAAATCTAAGGGCAGCAGCAAGTATAATTCCCTTGGGTATGAAAAATGACTGCACTGAGTTTAAAATACTCTCACTTTTGAATTGCTTTCACGTCTTTAAAGACAGCTGAAATACTAGCAAAGATAAAAGTAAAATAAATCCTTTTATTTTGACTATTCTGAACATGAGTTGCTAAGGGAAGCAGTTAGAAAAGACGCTTTAATACAGTGCTATTTTGTTTGAAATTACTCTTGTCAGTGTTCTTACTGTTAACATGCATTAAGAAAGTTAAGGGTTTATATAATGAGCCCATTAAATTTGAAGTTCAAGCTGCTTCACCATACTGTGTTTTTCTTGATGCACAATGCCAGCTTCTAATATATTGGAGTACACAAATGTTCCAGAGGCTGGTGGGAAATTATAAAAGTACATTATTAGGGAACAAAAGAATTGCAGGCTTAAAATAATTTTTTTTTTGAAAGGTGTGTACACAGATGTCTCTCAGCCAAAGAGGCGTTGCAACCTTTCATGTCAAGCCCGGTGCCAATTGTAGAGGCTTTGAGGATGAGCACGCCTGCATTTTTTATGTTACATACCAGAATCTCCACATGCCGTATTTTTTTAACTGTGACAGAAGAAAATGGTAAAATTAACATCCTTGCAGTATCCTTCTTAGATGCATTTAGTCCTACAGCAACAGCATTTCAATCTTGCATTGAGTCCATCAGGATTACTGCAGCTGCTCTGCTTTTGAGGAACTAATTGTCTTTTGTGATTGTATCTATACAGTAAAACTGAAATCCTGACAGAAGTGTGTAATATCTAATGATTTTATTTGTAAAAAGACCTATCGTACAGGGAAAATGTGTAGCATTTTGTTACATACTCTGCTTTATCGGACTGCTAAAGGAATATTGGATAATACAGTTCAGTTCTTTCTGGTCTGCAAAGCTGGACTTGAGACAATTTCTGGTTCAAAACACCTCAATAACACAGCAAAATCCATTCAATTCGATTATTAGAAAAGAAAAAGTAGTGTTTGATCTTTCTTTAATCTTATGCTCTTTTAATAGCTCCAGTCTTGGTGATGCATGTGCTGCTTTGGCTCATGTCTCTTACTGTGTTGTACCACAAATTACAGGTTTTCTTCTGGGGCTGTGTTGGTCCACGGTGAAGCAAGATCTCTGTGTCCTGTAGTCTTTAATGGGCTCTGCAGGGTGAGAGAGAACCGTTTGCACATGTGGAAGAGAGAGTTATGCTTAAATCAGATTGACTATTTTGATGTGGCTACGGTTTACAATAATCACTTCTTTCTTCAAACAAGGCTGTGCTGAGAAATGATGCATTACAAGAACATACTAGCAATGGTACATAAAGAAATAAAACCAGCCTAATTTAAAAGCCCAATAAAATTGGCTGTGAACAGTTTTCAGTGCTCTGTGTGCATGTTCTTTAGGGAGGAAGAATCCTGTGTTGCTGTTAATCTCTTTGAAACCTTCAAGTGCTTTGTTGCTGTAAGCATTAAGCTTGCCAACTTTTGGCAGATAATTATTTTGTTCTCTTCCAAATTGAACACATTCAATTCAGTCTTCCCATTCAGAACAACAAATTCTTGGGTGTTTTTTTTGCTCGCAGTTCAATAAGCACTTCTGAACAGGTAATGCTGTAATTTGCAAGTGTTCACTGGGCAAATGGGAAGCATTTTGAGGACTAATATGAGAAATAATATGGCATAGAGGAGGCTACTCAGATGGGCAAAATTCATTGTGATCCAAAAGTAAAAAATACTTTTAAGGTAGTGAGAAAAATGTTAGATATCTACTTCCCCTTCTCTCCAGTCTCTAAAATATTTGTTATAACATAAGGTCCTCAAAATAAAAGTATTAAATGAAGCAATCTTAAACCCAGAAGTACTGCTCAATTCTGCTGCTTCTGGAAACCTTTTCTCCTTTTGACTTAGGAAAACATTTAAGTACAGTCCCTATAGTTAAAATAGGGGTTAATTTGGAAAGAATGCTGAGACTTATTCAATGAAAGGGCTGAGATTCTAGAATGACTGTAAAATGTCCAGCCTTCTGTCCAGAACAAGAGCCTCATAAAAGAAATAAGAAGCTACTTGTACCATACTAATAGGACCCATCCTCCCTTTTTCTTGAAGCTGTGAAAGGTTTTTCCCCACTGCTTGCTATTGTGTTACAACAGTAATGCTCTGTCACTTCTATTGTGCACACATCTCTGAACGCAGAAATTATTTCTATTCTTAATTTAAACAAAACCAGCTGTGCACAGATGAAAAGTTTGAAAAAAGGAGCATGTGTACCCACTCACTGGTGGTACTTCTGGTATGTTACAGAGGAGCTTTATGAACTGAGGACAATCATGCTGCAAAAATGGTTTAAAAACATTCACAAGGGGGGAAAAAAGCTGACACTGTTTTAGTGCATTGCACCACTGTCACCATAGTAACACTGTGTTCAAACTAAGTATTTTTATTCTCATAAAGGGGGAATTAAGAGACCTTTTCTCTTCCAGTGCCACCATTGCGTACTTTCTGCAGCTGCTGCTGATTTCTTCAATACCCTCTCCCTGTTGGTGCTGTTCCTGTGCTGTGACCCAGCTATACTCAGAGCAGTTAAAATTATTTAAAAGGACTGAGTGGATATTTTAGCTCTTTTAAAGACTTGTTTCATGCTCTGCTCTCAGATTTACTTTGTCTATGTTACTGAAGTTTTCTTCTGCACTAGGGCACCTTGCAAATTCTACGTGTTCATCAAAGCCAGCTAGGTTCTGATAACAGCAAAAATTAAAGAATTCAGAATGTGGAAAGAAAGCTAAAGAATTAGTTACTTTACTGCTACCACATGAGGGGAAAAAGCCAAAGAGAAGTGGAGGTACACTAGTGACTACGAAAGAAAAGGAAAAAATATAACAGTTGGGTTATATTCTCTAGCCCCTGTGATTCTAAAACTAAAACTCAACAAGTTTACTAATGGGGGAAAAAACTAAACGGGAGTTTACTAAAACTCCCATTTTTCTCTTACCTGTTTTACTGATCCCAGATTCTTAAGTACCCTTTCCGAGTGTGTCTGCATACCATCTTCTCTGTGTGTCAAGTATTTGAGATGAACTTATTTAGGTGACAGTATTCTTTAACCAGAATCAAAGCTATTGCTAGCTCTGCATTATTGCAAAGTTTAAATTTTCAGAAGTACGAAGTGGCCTCATTGCATTGGAAAGACTTACTGCATGTTGTTGGACAAAATTGTAAGCTGATAAATTGTACAGTGAAATCATTGTGAATACTGTGTGCATAGGGAGCTTGAGAGCTCTATTAGCTTAAGAAACAGACTTTAAAATGTTTTTATTAGACCTTTGGGAGCTGTATGGAAAACCCTCTAGACAGCTTGGTGAAACACCGATAATTAGCATGTGGGGTTTTTTAATCCAACACATAATTGTTTTGTCTTGTGGTATTTTAGAACTAGAGGGTCTTGTTTTCCTGTTACTGCTGACAAGGGGATTGTCATTGTACATAATGAACAATTTCCTTTTTGGAGGGAGGGGAGCAATGGAGTGGTTTTGTGTGTTGTTTTAAAAATTGTTTTACCTGGAAAGGGCTATATTAGGAATGTATTAATAAATGGATTGTTTGGAATGCATTGTGACTTTTTTCAGGTATAATGTGGCCTCCAGGAAGACTCAATCCCTTTTACAAAAGGTATGAAGGGCATTGTGCCTCCAAATGCTGGTGATGTCACCGAAGGAACCCTGTGCACACCCTCAGGAATTAATTGTGATGATAGTTTTCTTCTCTTTCCATCTTTACAGGCATATGAAAGAAGGTTTCCTACATGTCCTCTGATCCCTATGTTTGTAGCCAGTGACACTGTAAATGAATACAAGAGTGAGGATGAAGCTATCCATGTGATTGAACGGCGCTGTAAGCTGGATATAGATGCACCACGGCTGTTGAAAAAGGTGATTAGGTTTGAAGTGCCTGTTTATACTTTTGGATATCCTTTCACATGAATATTGTATCTTAACAGAATCTATGTCATCTCCCTTAGATTGCAGGAGTGGATTATGTCTACTTTGTCCAGAAGAATTCTTTGAACAGACGAGAAAGAACTTTGCATATAGAAGCCTACAATGAAACCTTCTCTAATAGAGTCATTATTAACGAACACTGCTGTTACACAGTGAGTAACAGGCTCTTGGTGGTGCTACAGATGGACTTAAGTCAGTGTTTGGATTTCAGGACTCATAAACAGAAGTTGGGTTGTTCTTCGCTTTTGTCTTGCAAGAAAAAATAACCAGCACACCACCATGAGTGATAATTGTTGGTGGTGTTAAATGTAACACACTTGCTTGAAGCACTGAAACGAGTTTGGCACCCTCTTGCTTGAGCATCTTCTCAGAGAATAGAACACAGCATAATTTGCTGTGTTTGACAGCTCTGTTTAGGCAAATCTGTGGTCTGTAATAGCAGTGTGGGGCTTGGGGAGGCTGATGATACCCTGACAGAACTGTTAAAGGAAAGTTCAGCATAGCTTATTTGCCTTCTGCTCAGCTCAGACAAATGTTCATCAAGTCAGTTCTGTTTTAACCTAATTCTTTCTGTCATGGCTGTTCTTGGTCTTCAGTGCAGACGTTTTCTGATACAAAGGAATCTGGTGGCATGCCTACTGCTATGCTCTGGTCACTTTTTTTTCTGAATGGCTTAGCCAATACTCATAGGCTCATCCAGCAGACATGTATAGCAGTAAAACTTCAAATAGATATTAAAGGTTAAATCAAAGCTAGCAAATGTAACAGACTTATTTTTACTGTAGCGTTCTTTATGGGCAGTTCATAACACTTTCTGTTGTGTACAGAACCATGATGAAAAGGTCACTGGATGTCAAACCCACTTGACACTCTTATCTGAGGGTTTTAAAAAGTTGTTATTTGTGCAATTATTTCCAAGGCACATTTAGAAATACTTTTCCACTTGCAATTCTTCTGTGAAAGCTCTGTTTAAACAGAGGGAAATGCTATACAGAAAAGTGCATGTGGTAAATATGTACAAAACAAACACTTCTCCTTGCCCTTGCTCTATTCAATCAAGACATTTGTAGGTAAATACAAAACCAGAATATTAATTCAAGAATAAATTGTTTCTAAAAGTTCTTTCCTATTAAAGTTACTTTATAATTGAATTTAAGAAAGGACAGAAAGATTTTATGTGGTGGTGTTGTTATGATTTGTACTTATTTAGGCTGTACAAGTTATTCTTGTACCCCCATTCCCTAATGCAGAAGCAGCAAATGAAATGTTATTTTTTTGTAGCTGTCCCATTATAAAGTGTTGATGCTGTTCCCAGTCAATTTTAGCATGTTGTGAGAGGGAAGGGAACCTTAAGGCATCAGGACAATTGAATGCTCAGAAATCCAGCCTTCGGTGGTGTTTGTATAACTATGAATTCAGAGCCCAGCCTGGAAATTCACTTAGAAAAGTCTTTTTAGCTGAAGAAAGTTTAGAAAACAGCTTTCCTTCAGACTAGTCTCTGTTTCAGGATCATCTCTCAGCAAACTAGGATATAAGCTAAGAAGTTGGGAGTGCTCTAAGACAGCTTATTCAGCTGTCAACCAACTGAGAAGCTTACACTTCTTTCGGTAGCATTATCCTAGGTGAACAAAGTCAAATAGTTTCCAGTCTACAAAATTCTAAGGTACTTTGTAGGTCAACAAGGCAGCGATCTATTGCAGTATGTGTGTTGCAAACATGTCTAGACTGCAGTGCTTGGAAATGCTCACACAGTACTTGCTGCAGTCTTCAAGCTGGCTAGCCTTGGTTTCTGTCTAACTTGCAGCAGCAAGTTCACTGAAGTATTTGACCCTGTTCCACAGATACACTATGGTCGCTGCCCATATCTAGAATGAGATAGTGTTAATTGTATTAATGTGCTAGTCCTTTGGCTCTTGGCTGGTGCACTGGTATTTCTCTAAGCTCTCTTTTCTTGTTAAGAAAGCTGTGCTAGCCATGAGACTATAGGAGGGCTTCTCAGCTTTTTGTCCTTTAGTGTTACCTTTTCCAAACCATGTTTTGCAAATGAAGCGACAGACTACAAATTCCACTTGAATGTTTTTGACTATATGAACCTGTAAAACAAGAAACAGTTATTCCAAGCATTGTGAGGAAAAAAATACTGAATGGGTAGCTAAACTGTTTGACCTCCTTTTAACTAATAGGTTCATCCTGAGAATGAAGACTGGACCTGTTTTGAACAGTCAGCAAGTCTGGATATAAAATCTTTTTTTGGTTTTGAAAGCACAGTGGAAAAAATTGCCATGAAGCAGTACACCAGCAATATTAAAAAGGTGAGCTTGCAGTCGTGAAGGAGGTGCCTGGCTCTAAGTTACCAAAAGACAATGCAGCTGCTGCTAAGTAACAGGCTGCTCTGCTCCAAAAGCTGGACTGTTTACTCATTAGCCTGGGGCTAATGTGTAGGTCTGTATTTTTAAGTGAAATCTTTAGAGAGGTCTGGTTGCTTAATGGGTTTTCAGCCCAATCCTTTCTGTGTCTAAATGTGTTTTTAGTAGCTGAAGTAAGTCTTCCTTCTTGAAGGGAAAAGAAATAATAGAATACTACCTGAAGCAGCTGGAGGAAGAAGGAATAACTTTTGTTCCTCGTTGGACTCCTCCTGTTGCATGTAAATTGGAGAGCAGCACATCCCACACAAGACGACCAGTTTCACCCGCTATTAATATACCAGACTCTGCCACAAAGGAGGGCTTGAACAATAAGGAGATCCTCAACACCTCAAGCAGCCCCTCGGTGCCCACAGCAGGAACGCCTGATGGTATGGTGGTCTGACTTGTTTTAGTGGGATTCTTTGTGCTGTAGAGGCTCTCAGCACTGTGCTGCTTTTCCTGGGCAGCTGAAAATCTTCACATTGGCTCTTTGTTTGGTCACATACAGTGTTAAAGTGCAGGCTTGCTAAGCAGTAACATGTGGGATAGCTTGGATAGCTGTTACAAGCTGATCTTTTTAGTAAATGATCAGATGTGAGTAGAAAAACTCTTCACTTTGCTGTTCGTTAGGTTGAAAATGGATAGCCTACTTCTTGCCCTGAAATTCAGGGATGGGTATAACTATAGAGGAGGAAAGGGCTGAAGCTTCTCTGGACAGTGTCTTCTGTTGTATCTTCCTTCCCCTGTTAATAAGGGGATTTGGGAAAATCAAAGCTTCAAAAGTATTTCCAGAAGCAGCAAGCCCTATGGTACTGTGGATTGACAAATCTGAATATACTGGCAAAATGCTTTTACAAATGTCTGTTTTTACTCCTTTCTTAGTTGCAGAAGGAGAATTAATCATCTTGGTTTACCATTACAATGACCGCCTATATTGTCTTGCTCATCTTTTCATTGATTCAGAGAAACTTTATTCAATTCTGACTGCCCAGAACACAGAGCAGCTGCTTCTCTGCCTCAGATATCAACATATAGGATAATTTGCTTCTTTGACTAGGTCAGTTCAAGACTACTCTAATCACATGTATGTCTCCTTTTAGACAAGCTAGATGCAGACTACATCAAGCGGTATCTGGGTGACTTGACGCCAATGCAGGAGAGCTGCCTCATTCGACTGAGACAGTGGCTCCAGGAAACACACAAGGGCAAAGTAAGTTACTGTTGGTCTCTTGTGGCTCTGTCTCAGAATGTGTGATATGCAAAGTGAACCTGATGAAACATCAGGCCACACCTCCTGTGGCTAATTGTTCCTGTTAAATGGCCCTATGTGATCAGAGTACATAAATTAAGTCTGTACAGTGGCAATAAAGTTCACTGTGACTGTCCAGCTGACGTGCTTCAATGATTAGCGTGACTGCCTCTCAGAATGTCAATAAACCAGCACAGGGGAATAACATCAGTTTTAGAAGTCTGCCCTGTTCTAGAATAACCTTATTTTCATATTTGTTTGTTTTGGCCAAACATCGTATTCTCAAATCTACTGAAGGGCAGTACTGAAAGGGAAGTGATGTGGCCAGTTAAATCTTGATAGCTAGGCTCGGGGTTTTCCAGTGGCTTGTGATTTGCATGTATGTCTCAGCTTCCTTCTAGTTAGCAAGGAAATACAGTCTGTGTTTTGTCTCTAGATTTATTTCAATTGGACTGACTTAGTATGGTCATACAGATGTAAACAATTACATGAGAGTTCATGAAACTTTTATATCCCACATACGAAGGTAGCTGTGGTACCTGACAGGGCTCATGTTTTTGTTGCAAACAAAGACTGATTTGCTTGAGTTAAGTTCCAGTGTTACATACCATTCTCTTGCATTGGTGCAGGGCTGCACATTTTTCAGCTTCTGTTGTTTCCGTTCTGTTCTTTTGTTCTTGTTTCAAACCTTGCCTACAAAATTGAGTCTGTTTTTTTAATAGATCCCAAAGGATGAGCACATTTTAAGGTTCCTGCGTGCCCGGGACTTCAACATTGATAAAGCAAGAGAGATCCTTTGCCAGTCTCTGACGTGGCGTAAGCAGCACCAGGTAGACTATATTCTAGACACCTGGAACCCTCCTCAAGTACTCCAAGATTACTATGCAGGAGGCTGGCATCACCATGACAAAGGTATGCTCTATAAGGTGGATACTGAACAGCCTTTTTTTTATGTTCTGAATTAAAGGTGATAGCTGTCCTTCTGCTAACTAGAGGTGACTGGAAAGATGGTTAGACCTTCTCAGTTATGTGCTAAATGCATTTAAATTGATGTTGCCAGCTCCTTAGTTGGTGGAGGCAGACTTCTAGGTCCTAATCTTTTTGACTAATAGTGACATATTTAAGTCTCTAAAGAGCTCTGCTTCGCTAGTAGCTTAAAGTTATTAATTGCACTTCTGTAGTGCTCCGAGATGCTTAGAAGGGTGTTATGCAAATGCTGAGTATTCTCTTTCAGCGATTAAAAGATGTTTGTAAATAAGTGTATCTTTCTAATCAACTTATTTCTGATGTTGTATAAGTCTGCTGATGGCATAAATGAATACTTATTTGGCATTACAATCAGCTTAATAATGAGAAGTGGGATGTTGCAAAAACATCAAATAGAGTAGGTTTATTTAAGAAGGGAAGAAGCTTTGGCTGAATTCCCTTTGTATGGTGAGCCATGGTCAGATCCTTAAAACATGGACGACTTTGTCTGACACGCTCTCCTATCCCTCCGCTTGCTTTATCGCGCACTGATCTTGTTGCTAATACATACCCAGAAATTAAATGTTTTGGAATTTGTTGCTTGAGGCAAGCTGGATCCTTTAGATAAGGAAATGATCTCTTACTGTGAGCGATCTGTGTTCTGATTTAGTTTTTTCCTCACTAGGCACCATTGTTTGTGCTAACTCTTCCTGTTAGAAGAAGCATGTGAAGCAGGACAGGAAGCTGTCAGCAGTAGTGGCCAGGAGACAGGGAGGACACAGCAGAAGTTTAATCACTGTAGAGCTGAAGAGCTTGAGTGGCTCTCCCCTGCTGCTTTGAGTTTGGTGGATCTCAAACTGAGAAAATGGAAAATGAGAATATGCTTGTAAAGATCGTAGGGGGAAAAAAACCTGTGAATAAGTTCTCCCTTTCTGTCAGTTCCTTGTCCTTACTTTGCAAAGACTTCCTTTCTCATAGCATGTACCTGGGTCCTGCCAGTGAGTAGAAAGGTACAGAATGCATCAAAGTGTGGTTTAATGTTTTTCTGAGAAATTCTTCAGTTCTGTGGTGAACATCATGCCTCACTCCCTTCCCCTCCAGTTCCTTTGGTCTCTTTTGCAGCACGCCCACAAGTAAAGCATGGGTTTGTCAATAATGGAAACAGAATTTCAAAACTGAGCAATTCTCTATAATTTAAAACTTTAGTGCCAGGTTCTTTTTTTAAACCCTCTCTTCTAGTATTGCTCCTTTCCTCCTACATGTGCTAAATGTGCCAAACTTAAGCTAGCTGAATTCTGCATAGCTTTTAGCACTAAAGGCAGCAGTGATTATGAAGTGCGTTGTCTAAATGAGCTATTAGCACAAAAGAATAAGAGTTATTTTGCTTGTAATTAGCACAGTTTTCTATACATCTGAGTGGTTTTTATTTTGACAGGAATGCTTCAGTCAAATGTTTTTAAATCAGAAAGCTCTAATAGTGATAATACAGCACAGTTGAGACTTTCCTTCACGTGTAAACTATTAGTCTGGTTTTGGATGCGTGTGCATCTGTGAGGGAGGGAGACCTGCTATGAGTTTAATAGCACTTTTTGTTTAGTGTTTCAAAAGTTAAACAGTACATTCCAAGATAACTGTGTGCTGATGTTAAAATAACATTTTCTTTTAGACCACCTGATAAAATACAAAATAGTGTGAAATTTCATGGGGGTAGTGTCTTCACTAAGTGAAGAACTTGCCTTGACTCTGCAGTTGTGGTGTGGGGTTTTGGGTTTGTCTGGGTTTTGGGGTTTTTTTAATAGCCTATCTTGGCAGTTTCTTTCTGTGTGTCCCAAAGGACTTAATGATAATTTGATACCTCTTCTTGCAGTTGTTGGAAAGTGTAAACAGACAACAGGACTTCAGGGATATTTTTATGTAGAAAGCTCTTCCCTTCTCAATTTTGTGTCCTAGTGTATTCAGCTTTATAAGTGGGTAATTATTTAGCTTGTGTACCAGAATAGATGGAGCAAAGCTTAAAAAACACATCACAGCATTGGGAGGAAGATGGAAGCTGTTTCAGACAACTAGGTCCTATTACGAAGAGCCAAAAATGCAAGCTTTGATTCTCTGCAGTTGTTAAGCTTAATTAATGCCTTTGTATCCTGGACAGTATCAGGATGCCTCAGTCTGCAGGAAGATGACTATGAAATGGCAAGGCTTTGCATGCAGAGGGTCCATCCGAAGCTGATCTCTGGAACAGAGTCTGTTCTCCCCAGGCTTAACCTGCATAAGGGAGGCTGTGTGCCAGTTCCGCATAATATGTAATGACATAGCTGAAAGGTGTGACTCCAGCAAATGCTGCAGAAAGCCAGTCTCTGGGTTAACGCTTTGTTTCATTAATTGCAGAACTCAGCGTAGCCACTTTTCCAAAAAGGTTGCTGTCACTGATCCAGAGCAGTATTGCATCATCTATGATAGAAAGCTTACAGCCTTCATCACAACTCTTCAGTTACAGGAAAAACTAGTCCATTAGTTTATCTTAGCTGTCCTGGAAGTTAATTATAGTCCTGTGTCTTTAATTGTGTATGCAAAGATCTTGTGCATACCAATGTACTCGTTGGAAGTCCTTTGAACTTTCCTTGCAGATAGGAGAACTATGCAGTTCATTACAGACAATCTTTTGGTGGCGTTGGACAGGGTAAAGTTTATATTGCCACCTGCTCCAAGTTTTCCCTCTTCTAGCTGTACCACAGTTTGAACTGACTGTGGTTTGTTTCCATTTGAATTTTTAGCATAAAACTAGCTCACTCAAATTGTCTATCGCTGTAAAAATAAGGGATATATTTGTTCTCATTTTTCAGATGGTCGCCCGCTGTACGTGCTGAGGTTGGGACAGATGGATACCAAAGGCTTAGTGCGAGCTCTTGGGGAAGAGGCCTTGCTTCGATACGTAAGTATTTTTGGAGCCAGCAAGTTGCTAACAATGTGATATTTTCATTTAGAAATTTCCTCCTCTGCCAGAACGTTCATCACATTGGATATTTTGATGTACTCTCTGGCCGTCTGTTTTTGGTTTGAATACATCTGAAAGCTCCTGGTAGCTGATCTTCTGCATTCTTTCCAACTGCAAACTGATGGCGGAAAGGCGTAGTTCTTGGCAGCTCCTATAGTTATTGGTTAGCATTTTCACAGATTCTGCTGCAGTTTGTGCAGTGCTTCAAACTTAAGTCTCTGCATTTTTACAGAAGAGAAAATGCCATGCTCAGATCTTGTCAAGCCTGTATTCCAAGGACAAGAAAAAATTATTTTTAAAGAAAAAGTACTTGCCTGTAATTTTGCCTTCTCTAAAGGCATCACTCAGACTGTGTTATTGTGGAGCTGCTCAGTTTCCAAGCAGAAAGCTGGCAGAATTCCATTTTTTTGATTCCTAGTAATGACAGTTATAGCCATAGTAACCACGAGAAGCAGGGGCTGGATTTTACTTTTTCCTCTTTCAGTGGCATTTTCAGGCACATACTGAATTTTGTTTGTCCTAGTTCTGTTTCAAGGTTACTTTCTATGACTTAAAAAGGGGCTTGAATTTTTGAGTAAATAGGAAATTAGTGCTTAAAGAGGCAGAAGTGTAGGAAGACTTCTTGTCTGTATCACTCCTGGGTCTCAGTTTTCCAGAGGATCTTGTTTACATTTTACTGCTTTTATGGAAAGGCATATTTATTTTTTTATGAGATCAACCAATGAGGTAAACGTAGTGATTTCTAGTTCATTCTTTGGAAGAAAGCTTATGCTAGTTTGACTTGTAGTTTTAATTAGCCTTCAGATACAAACTTTTTTTCTTTATCCCATATACTGAGTTTTAGACTGTCTTCTCTAAATGACATGTCTCGTACAGGTTCTTTCTATAAACGAAGAAGGACTGAGGCGATGTGAGGAGAACACGAAAGTATTTGGCAGGCCAATAAGGTAAAATACAAGAAGTGGATCTGCTTTTTGGGAATTACCTGTTTTCACAGTGTGCGTGGGGGAGCACGAGGCAATGTGATGCTGCTGAGCTCAATTTATTAATGGAAACAAGTGAAGGGTAGGCTCCATGTTTCTTGAGCACAGTTATGGTTAACTGAGACCTGCTGCAATTACTGCTAGAGTCAGTCTGCATGGTCAAGCCTGAGGAGAGCACAGCACCTGCTCCGGTGGTCTTGGTGTCGTGCTCGTAATGTTTCTACATGGGGGATGTTCTGCTTCGACTCAATGTTGATGTCTGCAAAGCAATGCAACCCAACTCCCATCTCTGTTTCTGGGAGATGTTATAGACAGATGTTGATACAGGCTGCCAAAAAAATCAGGCCATGATAATAGCATGGATAACCTGTCCAGTTGTTTCAGGTACTGTTTTCATGCCGCTTGTTCATCCATAGTCCATACCAAGGCTTGTTACACTCAGCTCTTGTTTGCATTCTCCATTTATTATATGTGGTTACTCAACTCCTGAGGTCAGGTCACAAGGCTCCTGTGAAACCTGGGGTCTAGTGACTTCGTGTAAAGTTTAGCCAACAATGGTTTGCTATCCTGTCTTTATAGGGATCGCTTATGAAAGTGTTAACTGCAAAATGGATTTAAGGGTGTGGAATGAATGCAGAACTGGCCCTGAAAAGAAATAGTGTTTCTTGGACTCTTTTCAATTTCTGACTCCTTCCCTTAATCTGTAAGGGTTCAGGGATGCATGGTATCTCTGCTTATCTTTTCCCTGTTAAGGAACTTGCTGTCCTAGCTTTCAGTGGGAGGTCAAATCCAAGAGATAGGTCTCCTGTGTGTAACTATGAAATTGTGCTACCTACTGGATCTGCATTTGTAGAAGTAATCCTAAAGGACTACATGTTAAACATTTAAAGTGAAACAAAGAAGTGTTTGCTGTTTCATAGAAGCCTTATGCATAATTTCATGGATGCTAGCTGGTTCAGCACAGCTGTAAATCTTGAATTCATGCCCAGGGCGAGACCTGAACTTGGAAAGTAACTACAGCATGTGCTGAAGCTCAGTATTCATTATTAAGAACATATCTCTTCCTACAGAAAAAGCTTCCCTCCCTGAGAGCTGGCAGCAGAATTAGCTTGGATGTATAATGGCACTGTTACTGGACTGTATTAGTAGGAAGTCCACACCATGAATGTTACATTGCTTCGTAGCAGCAGTGTGGCCACTTAATTGATTTCCCAGTAAAAGCGGTGGTTTAACATTAGAGCTGGCTGTTGACAGGATCTTTTTTGGCTTCATATTAACCTTCACCCAGAGTCTGAAGTGTCTGTGGGAGGATGCATGCGATGTGCAAAGCAATCGTTGCACATACTCTGTAACTGTGCTTGGCCCACTCTAAGACATTTCTAAGGATCTTAAATTCCAGTGTCTACAGGTAGCCCAAAGCAAGGAGGTAAAATAGAAGAAATCAAAGCATGCCGTGGGGTCCACACATTTTAGGACATTGCACACTTGCACAAGGAGAATTTTGATGCCATTGAGATTTTTCTTTTTCTTTTTTGTCTTTCTCAAATCCAGCTCTTGGACCTGTCTAGTAGACCTAGAAGGCTTGAACATGCGTCATTTATGGAGACCTGGTGTCAAAGCATTGCTAAGAATTATTGAGGTGGTCGAAGCTAATTACCCCGAGACTTTGGGTCGTCTTCTTATCCTACGAGCACCTCGAGTATTCCCAGTTCTTTGGACACTGGTATGTTTGTAATTCAAGGTATTCCTCAGCTCTCAGTGTGCTGCTAAATACTTGTAGTCTGTGAAAGCACTTTAAAGATCAGGCTTTATAAGCAGGAAATGTTACCATTTGGAAACATCTCTTTTACAGGATTCCTGGAATGGATTAAAAAACCACTACCTAAGAAATTGCTTACATAGTTGGTTAATTTAGCTTCTTTATAGTGTGAACTTTGTGTAACAAGGATGGTAATGCTTAATGCGATCAAACTGATTTCTTCGAAATAGACTCGAGGAAAAATGTGGGAGCCTGATCTATTCTGTTTTTCTTTGTAGGTTAGTCCGTTCATTGATGACAACACTAGAAAGAAATTCCTTATTTATGCTGGAAATGACTACCAGGGTCCTGGGGGACTGCTGGATTACATCGATAAAGAAATTATCCCTGATTTTCTTGGTGGAGAGTGCATGGTATGAATATAAACTAGTGCATATAGCAACTTATTTGTAGGGTTTTTTTATTCCCCTACTCCTCCAAACAAAGAAGCCTAGAAGTGCAGAATGATTGCTAGTGTAGTTTGGAATCCTACGATGTAGGATTCCAGGCTTAGTGTTTTCTTCTGGATCCACTCTAAAAAGAGAAATACAATACTTCTTTACCATGAATATCAAATAACTTATCAAAGTAGCCAGGCATGGTTAAAAGCCATAGTCTGTGTTAACTGTCAAGTTCAAGCAGATGTGGTAGCAGAGCACTGAGCAAGAGCTGTCACCATCAGCTGATCGGAAGAGTCTGAGTCACCTGAAAGAACTGATACCATAGGGAGCCCAAGGAAATATCTGGCACATCTGCTAGCAGGGCTTAACAGCCAGCCAGGTCTCCTAGTGTGATGTGCACGTTGACCACAACAAACAAAAAAATTGTTTTACTGCAATTTCTCAGGCCCTTGTCGTGTGCCTTAATAGCTGTTTTCTGCCTAGACTGTGGGTGTCCATTGAATTTGTAATTTTAACATCTCAGGCATGCTGTAAGGTTTGTTTTCTCTGTAATGGTTTTGACAACACAGGCTCACTGGTGTGACTGAGGTGTAGGAGTGCGACTCAGGCGTTTTCTGGAGCCTCCATCACAGTGAAACATGATAAATTTTTTTTCTGAACTCAGCTGTGTTAAAATATAATTTCAGGCTTCCTTTTTAAGTCAATATACACTTTCTAGATTAATTTCTGCATCATTCTTGAAAATTCATCTACGTCTGTTCAAATACAGTCTCAAATTACAATGAAGTACTGTTAGACATGGCAGAGTAGAGCACGTGTTTATCACCAGTGGGCTGCTTTTTGCTGCAGCAGTACCTTTCAGTGGGGAGAGAGTTTGTGCTATCTGATTTGGAGCTTGAGAAGCTGGCGGAATCCACTGCTTAAGTAATCAAAAGCCAGTGTTACCAGAAAGCAGATTGCTACAATACTTCCTGCCAGTCACAGACAATGATAAAGTCTCTTTCTGTTCCTCTTTACTTCTGGATATTTGAACAAAAATGACTTCTCAAAGAAGTCCTTTCAATTCTCTATTGTAATTCAGTTATCGAACACTTCTGCTGCCCCAGACACTCCTATGGAACATATTCATGATCAGGTAGTTGGATAACTTCATTATTAGAGACTTCATAAAAAAAGCAGCTTATTTAGGGAAGTTGTGTAATGGGTTTCAGTACTGAGCTGTCAAGACAGTTGTAACTTGAAAACTGTTACCTTCCTGACTATGATATCCTTTTACCTGTTTGGAAACTTATTGTATCTTCCCACCATCCTTCGTCCTTAAATTTAGCTACCCCAGTTCTTTCAGGTCTCTGTAAGCTGTATTTTTTTAGACTGAGTCGCTATAGCCACTTTCCTCAGGCTTCTTAAGTGGCTCACATCTTTCTTCAGTATAGGGCAGTATGAGTGATAACTATAGCACCTGCACAGTCATTTTCTGTGGTGGCTGTGTATATACAAGATCTGTTCCTCTGGTGTCTAGTTCTGCAAGCTCACCCAAACCAGATCATTGTAAAATAAATTTATATATGTATGATGTACAAGCTATAAAATTACTTTCAAACTCTGTTCATATCTGAAGGGTACTTGCTGAATGTGAGGTTTTTGTTTCTGATGCTAGCAGGCAGAGAGCGTGACAGGGTGTGGATATCCAGAGGGGATACTTTTTAATGGCTGTTTGTGCTTTTAGTGTGAAGTACCAGAGGGTGGGCTGGTTCCTAAGTCCCTCTACCGGACAGCAGAAGAGTTGGAAAATGAAGACATAAAGCTTTGGACTGAAACAATCTACCAGTCTGCAAGTGTCTTCAAAGGATCTCCGCATGAGGTACGGTTGCAGCCTACCCTTCTCTTCTTTCTTCTCAACCCTCTGCTCTGGACTCTGATTTCTTGGACTGAAAATAGTTTAGAACTCGATTATTTAGTTGCCATGCTTCCACCTTGTTCTTCTGTAGTTCTGGTGCATAACGATGCTTTAGTAGTTGAAGTTTGTGATCATTCCTGGTATCATCTTGTTGCCCTTTAGAGAATATCACTGTTTTTCATTCTATTCAAAGCCATGTCCTTCTAAGCAAAGACAAACAATATTCTCAGAAGCTACTTGAGAGCTTCTGAAAGTCACGTGTTAAAATAAAGACACTCCATCAGGAGAGAATTTGTATCTACAATGCCTTTTTAATAGTCAAAACTAAGCCCGGCACAAAAAGGTCTGTTCTTTATCATCTTTTCTGGTAGGAGTTTCTTTAGTGAGCAAATTGCTATTGTCTAATAGGACTCTTCTGTCTCAGGTTCTCATTCAGATTGTGGATGCCTCCTCTGTGATCACATGGGATTTTGACGTGTGCAAGGGTGACATCGTTTTTAACATCTTTCATTCCAAAAGAGCCCCGCAGCCTCCTAAAAAGGACTCTCTGGGAGCTCACAGTATTACATCTCCTGGTGGGAACAACGTCCAGTTGATAGACAAAGTCTGGCAGTTGGGGCGTGATTACAGTATGGTGGAGTCTCCCCTTATCTGCAAAGAAGGAGAGAGTGTGCAGGTAAGGCTGCCGAATCCTCGTGTGGGAGCAGATGGAGGTTAGCTCCAAAACTAGATGTTCTAATTCACAATTGTTATTGATGACTGAGTGGTGATTCAGCTCCGGACTGTCTGCTTGCTTTTGGCCGACATTTCAGCTTATGTTCCTAGCTGCATGCTGCAGGGAATGGGGATAGTATTTACATGGGATCTGCTGTGTGGGGAGGTGGTCCCTGTGGCCAAGGTTCCTGGAGTGTTTTTTCAATGGCATTTGCAGCCTATCCTTTAATTACCAAGTTTGATATTACATGCAGCATGTTTACAATCACACTCTGCCACTGCTATTCCTTTTGATTTGAAATTAGTCAAACAGCTTTTGAAAAAGGAGCTCCTTAAGTCAGCTACTTAGAAGTGTTAAACTGGAAATACGGGCAGTGACCTCTTGAACTGCACTTTCTCTTTCTGTGAGGCAGGAGTCTTGACTGCTCTTTTCAGTCTCAAAGGACAGCTGTTAATGAAAATAAATGGAAAAATGGATATTGTTTTAAACAAGACCTTTGTCCTTTCAGTATATTTAAATCCTAACCCCTTCACACTGTCAAAAAGCAGGAGGATCAGCTGGCATTTTGTCTCTTATAAGCATGCTGTGTGGGGAGAGTTCACTAGCACTGCCAATTGGCAGAGGAGCTGAACTATTGGCATTGGGGAAAAAAATCTGGGCATGTAGGCAGTTCTTCTAAGCTTGGAAAAGAAATTTTAAGCCTACAAATCTTTTTGTGTTAAAGTTAATTTTCCATTTTTGCTGCGGCTGCTTCCAGGGATCACATGTGACCAGGTGGCCTGGCTTCTATATTCTCCAGTGGAAATTTCATAGCATGCCTGCCTGTGCTGCAACCAACCTGCCTCGTGTGGATGATGTATTAGCATCTCTACAGGTCTCCTCTCACAAATGTAAAGTGATGTACTATACAGAAGTAATAGGATCTGAAGATTTCAGGTACGTCTGGCCAAGGTTCATGAAGGTCAGCCAATGTCAAGCCTTTCTGATAGTTTAGATGATCAAGCCAGTGTCCAGTTCACTTAAATACAAGTAAATTGTGAGGACTTGTGTTTTCTTAGGCCTCAAAAAACACCCAAACAAAACAAAAAAATTCAACCAGTACTGGCACTGGGGGCAACTATTATATAAAAGGGGTTAATTAGTTATCTCATTGCCATCATCATTGGTCACTTTGCTCCGCTTGGAAAGCGTTGTGTGAGCTGTTGGGCTTGGCAGGTTGTCACGTAGAAACGGGTGCAACTCAAAATGGAATTGAGTCAGTTCAGTTGCCTGCCAGGTGATACACCTGACTGAAACTAGTTCTCAGTCTCTTGGAACAGCATTTGTTTTTGCAAAGTGTTCACTGTCCTCATTACCTTATGTGGTGAGGCAGAAAAGCTTTTGTGTATCTGCACAAAACTGTTAATTGCTTTTTATTCAGTGTGCAAATACAATATCGGTACATAGCAGAAATCAAAATCTTTGTGTGTTCTGAAGCTTAAGGCCACTTCATTTTCTATTGCAGGGGATCTATGACCAGTCTTGAATCAAGCCACAGTGGATTCTCCCAGCTCAGTGCTGCCACCACCTCTTCTAGCCAGTCCCATTCCAGCTCCATGATTTCCAGGTAGTGCCACAACAGACAAATGGATGAGATGGCTGGACCCTCGCCTGTGGCAGCTGACTGCAATACAGCATATTCAACTGGCAATTGAGCAAAAAAAACCCCACCCCACAAAAGCCTTTTATAGATAGTAAAGTAGCTGTTTGAATTTTAAACTTAGTGGTTTTGGTTCTTGTTAGATCCAACAGCTTGTCTCTTAACTTTAACCCTTTTTCCTAACTCAGCCATAAATATTTTTGCAAGCATGCTTGCACAAATCCTAACTCTAAACACAAGGGCTCTTATTGAAAGGGAAAATAACCAGTGCATCAGTTAAGAATTTTTTTAACTGTGTAAATGTTAAATAGCAAAAAAGAGGAAAAAAAAACCCTACCAAAAATGCTCTGTAGTTCATTAGAGATCAACTGCAAGTCTCCTGTCAGGACATTCCTTGCCATCTTAAGAAATCCCCTGTGATCTTCCAGTGCTGCAAACTGTTCTCCCATTGCCTCTAAGTGATGTCCGAGACAAAGAAAAGCAGTTGCTGGATACTTGACTTTGTGAGTCCATTTTTTTCAAAGCATGCCCACAGAGCTGTGGCCAGGCTGTAAACACTAATAACTTTTGTATGAGCACATTTTTTGGGGAATTTGAGCTCTGGGTCTTGATGGGTTAAAGCAATTCATTCTTTCCTTGGATTTGCGCTTGAAGCACTGCAGGGAGAGAGAGGCAGAGAGCAGGCTCTCCCTCACTGTGTCGTGCTGGACTGATCCAGAATTGGCCTGAGGATTTGTTCCCAGCTCTGTGCTGAAGCTTCATTCCACTTCCTTAGTACGCTCCATGTGAATTGATTTTACTGAGACTCTGTTCTTACCAGGAATTTATGCAGAGCTTAAGCTTGCTTCTTAAATCAGTCTGAAGGAGGTATGGCTTATCCTTCCTGTGCACTTTTCAATCCCTCTTGCCTCCTATCCTTCCCTGTGTGTGTCAAAAATAGCGTGCTTTAGTTCTGAGCAGCAGAAGCTTTGATGTAGACAGGGAGCACAGGGACCTCCACTGGAAGTGATGCAGTAGAAGATGCTCTAGCAGTGCCTGCTCGACCATTTTCACTATTGCTACTGCCAGTGGTGAACTGCCAGTTTGGATATTGTCCCTATTCTACGCAGGCCCAAGCAATCCTACTTGAACTCTTTTTCTTGAAGTCCGTTCAGGCATTCTTCATCTTTGAGCCCTCTCCCACACACAGCAAAAGGCACAACAGACTCAAGTGCCGAGCAAAGGGCTGTCAGCAGACAACTACAGACCAGGCTGGCAGTGGAGCAGAGAAGATTTCAGCTTGAAATGCAGCAGGATTTGCATAGTTAGACCCTGCTTGGTTTTTCCTTGCCCTCTTAGAGCTAAACTAGCCATCCAGGCAGAAGGAGCTACTGCGCTGGCTGCAGTCCCTGCTGGAAAGCTGGACAGGCTCTGTTCAGTCTTGGGAAGGGTTGTTCCTGCTGTGGGTAAGTGGCAGAGGAGCTGGTGGAGGTCTCACACTTTCAAAGCAGGACTCACTTAAGATACTGGATGCCCTGCCTGAGGAAAGCTGGTTCTGAACTCAGTATAAATCTTTTTTATGATGCAAAGCTTGTGCGAGGTAGCTTATACTAACCTCTAACTAGGAGCACCTCCTCCTGCGGGCCAGTTCTGGCTGTGGAACGTGGCGGACAGCTGACAAGTATTTTAGTAACAGATTTAGAGGAGTTGAGGGGCCACTTTCCTTAAACTGAACCAAGCTAGCCAATTTTGTCTTTTTTGGACTTAGGAATTGAAGATGGAGGTTAGACTGGCATTTAGGCTGCAAAAGTGTGCTGTTGTGTGAGACAGGCCACCGCTTCGGTGTCAAGCAGCTCCCCACGCAGCGCCTGCCCAGCAGACAGCCACGTGCTGCGGCTCTTGGGCTGCTCGTCTCAGCTGTCTGCTGAGGAGGGACACAGCTTGCTGAAGAGGTGGTTTGATTCTTGACATGACTGGCATTCCCAGGCACAGGGAGCTGGTGCAGCAGGAACACAGTGAGCTTAGCTTAATGACACTCGGGGCTCTCTGCAAATGCCACTTTCTATTTACCAGGCTGTAAGGGTTGAAGATGGTCCCCTTTTTTCTTTCTCTCTCTCTCTCTCTCTCTCAGATGGCGATTTTGCTGACAACTGTAAAGAAACTGCTTCATTCAACACTCCACATCTGTCCAGAGGTGTCTGGCTTTGTAGACCTTTTTGAGTTGCAGTCACTTTTCAAGTCTGAAGATCCATATTTTGTTTTTTCACTTGAGCTGGCTCAAAAGTGGCACTTAGGGTTTTTCCTGCTGTTAACACATCTTCTAGAGCTCAAAGCACATGACAGCACAGACAGCTGGGGAGATAAAATTCCAGAAAAACAATAGTTAATCCTCCTCTAAGCAAAGTGCTGTGGCAATATGACTTGATCACTGCAGTCTGACTAATTAATTTCCCATACCCTGGTCTTTCTTTGTGTGATATTACTGCTGCTCTTCCTTCTCTCAGCCAATGACTCTTCTGTTGGCTTTTTTTCCTATTCTCAGTGTCCTCCTGCACTTTCCCGTCTGTACTCATGAACTGCATATCAAATTCTGTAAATGTTTTGTATACATAATACCTCATTCTTGGTAATAAAATACAGATAGTCTTTAAAAGATTTTTTTATCGTTATCAATAAATGTGAACTGTTTGGAAAAAAGGATCAGCATCTTTATTTCATTTACCTGATTCAAGGCTTCCAGGTTATTTTATCCAAGGAATTCCAAGTCTGCCAGAGCTGTTATGGGGGGTGCAGGAGGTGCTTCAGCTCTGCCATGTGGAGAAGTTCCAGCAAAGCGGTCTGGGTGAGTACAAACCCCAGCAGGTACAAGGTGTGAAGAAATGTGGGTTTAGGGAAAACAGCCTCTGTCACATAACGAAATCCTATTTTCCCCCCAGTACAGGCACACAGGTTTCTTTACTAGTCTGCAAATACACAAAAGAAACAGAATACTGTGCTGAAAAAGTCTTCAGGTAGCCCTAAAAAGAAAACAGTTGCTTTTATGGATTATATGATGACTTTATACTCCTTTATCACAGTTTGAAAGGGAGTTCCAACCTCAGCAGTTCAGCTGATGGCAGCAGCCTCCCTGGTGGAGGGAAGTGTGTGTGTTATCCAACAGGCTTGCTCGGGCAAGCTTAGCACAGCATGGGAACAGATAAATGTCTCTCGCGCCCCTGTGCAGGCTGAGGTGTGGCTGGCCACCTGAACTGTTTTCTTTTCCACCTGCTTATTTCTTTTCACCCAGTGGCCGTGCCACAGGCTTTCTGGCAGAATAAATGTTGGACTGTATCCCTTGGCTGAGCACGTAGTGTTTTGGGAAAACCCTGGTCTGAGTGCAGGTACGGCTGTCTGAGCAGTGAACTGCCCCTAAATCCCAGTCCTCCCAGTCTTCCCAGTCCCCGAGCTCTGCAGGCCTTGCCTGGGTGAGCATGGTGAGAGCTGCTCTGCTCCCTGGCACATTTGGCTTTGGTGGATGCAGCTGTTGTGAGGGTTGAGGTTTTTTAACTGAAGGTACAATAATATTTTCTCTTGTTTAAGAATAAACACACTGATCTGTGGAGCTGCCCATACAGTGGGATTGATGCCTCCTGCTTCCAGGGGTGAGCCAGCAGTACGGTGTGGAGGAGATGGGCTGATGCCTTCTTGGATGGGAGGTGGAGACAATCATGTTTGGGGAATTAGAATTTTTTTTTTTTTTAGTAAAAGTAGACAAAGCTTTAGCTATTTTTAAAACAGGAGCCGATAAATGTCAGGCTGTGGTTTTTCTAACCCCGTGGAACTAGAGCAGTGGCTGAAACATCCATTTATGGTTGGTCTTTCAGATTTTATCCAAGCTGTAAAGTTTCTAAAATGAGAATCTTTAACTATGGTCGTGGAGGTCTGTCAGCAAGACCAGATGGCTGCCTGACCTACTTCAAGTTTTAACATGTGGCCAATGTTTTCATGCCAGTGCATAATTATAATGGACCGACTTACTGCTGCTCTGGATGTTACTAAATACAAAAGCCCTTGAAAAGAGATGGTGTGAGAAGGCAGCTTTGGCTGTTGAGCTGGGCTGTGCCTGGGGAGGCAGTGGAAAGCTGCCTTTCCCGGCCACTGCTCCTCTTGCGATGGCAGTTTAAACAGCCTCAAACCTCGTTTGAGCTGAGCAGGTGATAATGGTGTGGGCAGGGGCTGCTCTGCCATGCAGCTCCCCTTGGAAAAGCATTCATCCAGTTGCACCGTGTATTTTAGTTTTGGGGCTTTGGGGTGGATTTTTTTGAGACAAAGCAAAATTCCTGGAAGAAATTTCCCCTGCCCTTTCCCACCTGCCTCCCCTGCCAGCCCTCCCTGCTCCTGCAAAGCCGAGGGCTCCCTGTTCTCCAGGTGTGAGACCCCTTTCTCATTTCTCATTTGTAAATCTAGCTTGCAAATGAGCCTGTAAATTCTCAGTGACCCAAGGCAAAGGATCCAGAACTGCCCTCTCAAGGTCTCCCCGTGCATCCCTCGTGCTTGGCCCTGACTCCCTGTCCAGCACCGCTGCCCACGGGAGCAGCCAGGACCGTTGGCTCTTCCCATCGCTTTGCGGGCAGGCTAATCCTGCTGCTTGGTGCGTACAGATGAGTTAAAATGAAGATGGAAGAAAGGCTTTGATCCCTGATAGCACCCAGATGGTGCAGGATGCATGCAGAGCCATCGCTTCCGTGTCGGAGCTGAGCTGCGCGTACCCGGTGTGTGCCAGGGCCAGCCGGGCACCCTCCTGCACCCCGGCTGCTTTGCTCCAAGCTCCTGGGGGCTGCACGGTGCCGGCAGCTTTGGAGGAAGGTGTAAGGCCGGTGCAGCGCGCAGCAACTGCGAAAGCTGCTTAATGCCTCTGGGAGAGAAAAACCCTGAAGTGTTAGGTTTTGGCTGTCCTTCAGAGGTCATTAATATCCAGCATAACTCAGGCTCTGAAAAAAAAAAATGCCATCTCCTTTTTTTTGGGAAGGGGGAGGAGATACCTTTTATTTTGCTAACTCATGCTGTTGTAAGGAGTTTGGATGCTGGGAAGTAAAAGGTCATGATTTTTTAGTCGTTGTTTTGCTTTCATTCCATCCCCTATGACCGCTGCTGAATTCATCCCGTGATGCTAAGCCGTGGCACTCTGCAGGCATGGGCCGGAGGGGAGGGAAGGGACCCCGGTTCTGTGGCTGGTGTCGGGTCTGATTCAGCCCTTTCCCTGCACACGTGGGGGCTGTGGAAACAGGGGCTAACGCAGGCCCACTGCACGGACCAGAAAAGTCCCCGAGGACACTGGGGAGAGGCAGAGCTGAGCTTCCCCCAACCCTCTTCCTGGCCCTATAAACAAATAAATAAATCTCACACTTTTCATGGAGCCTTCCCTTGCTGTGTGGGGTGACCTGAACGGGGCAATCGAACCACGCTGCTCCTTCCCTGGGCTGTGCAGCCCGAGGGGAGTCCTGGCTCCAAAGTAAGCCGAGGAAGGTCAGGCTTGGGATGCTGCTGTGACCCAGCGCTGCCCCACACCTCGGGGTTGTGT